TTTTTTTTTTTGGTACAAAGAAAGAGACTCCGCCTATTAGCGTGAGCTGCAAATCGCCCTCGAATACGACACGCCAATCAGGTCATGGTGAAGCCACTGACGGACCCCAACTGGCGGATCTGGTAAGAAATGGTAACCCAACGAAACATTCGCAGCGAAGGAAGCTAAATGGTCGGCTACGAAATTCGCTTCACGGAAAATATGCTTCACCTTGACTTGCTAAGGTTGACCTAGTAGCTCTTTGATACTCAACACAAGGCCCGTATGAATCCCCGACACATCCTCGAGAGATCTAGACAAACTCACGACACTCTCATTGTCAACCTCAGCTTCGACCTTCCTAAACCCCAAGTCCCAGGCCAAGTTGAGACCCCGAAGTAATCCCCATAATTCCGCTGCCATTATCGAACAAGCCCCTATTTTCATAATGAACCCCCCAAGCCACTGGCCATTATCGTTTCGGACGAGGCCACCTGCGTACCCCATATCCGACACCGCATCGAAAGAACTATCCGATTTAACTTTAACCCATCCAGCCGGAGGTCTCGCCCAACTAATCCAACGCGAGGTGCGCATGAGGCCCGTGATGAAGGATCGTATGTTTTCTCAACTCGATTGCCTCGAACTAAGCTTTGCCACGGCTTGTTCTTCGACGATAGGTGTGGACGACTCGGTTATTAGCCTTATCTTCTCACGATTTTGAGATGGTTCGGGTCCTAGCCTCGCCAACTCGTTTTGTATGATAAAACTCTCACGAATTCTAAACACACGAGATTTGTTCTCACGAACGGTTTTCCATTACTTTTCTTCTCCTTTATTTCGAATGACATATGGGTGGTATTTATAGATACCAAACAGATCTAATCCTAGTCTAAGAAGAACTCCTAATGCAAGTAAACAAATAAAGTCCTAAGGAAAGTATATATCTAGTAAATATAGACTTACAAAAACTACTTAGGCACATGCCTTTTATTCCATATCCTAACCAAACTATGAGTCCTAAGTTATTAGGGAAAATCAGCCCTAGGCCTTCTAGAAGGATCGCGCGTCCATTGTGCCGCGCGCCTCGACCAAACCCTAGTCCTCACGGCTAGTCCTTGTCCTCCGAGGTCTTGGCCTTCTCCCGCGCCCCACGCGTCTCCTGCCTTGTGCCTCAAGTCGCGCGGTCCTGTCCTAGGCATTGCGGTATTCCTAGCCCTTCGCGGATTCGCGCTTGCCAGCCCCCGCGTGTCTCGCGCGGTTGTTGCGCACGCTCGCGCCCTCAGCATCATCCTCTCGCCCGCTCGACGCCCTGCGCGTTGTGCCCCGTCTACCCGCACGCGTGCTGCTCACGCCCACTGGCCCAGCCCTTGGCCCGTGCTAGTCCAGCGCCTCGCGCGTGACTCCCGTCATCGCGCCTTGCTCGCACCCGCTCGTCGAGCCCATCGCAACACCCCATGTGCACGCTATCCACCCTTCATCCTCCCCTCGTGCACCATTGGCCTTAGCCGTCATTCGTTGCTTGCGCCGTTCTCTCGCGCATGACTTGCACCACCCACCTACTTCCCCGGGCACGACCTTTTCACTCTCATCGTCGGCCCAAGTCTCATGTTCATAGCCTCTTCGAACCCTCTTAGCGCGGTCTCGGTGGTTGTCCCGAGTTCTCGCGCGCTTCCTCCCATGGCTTGTGTGCGTCTCGTCCTCGGGCTCGGATAGGTCGATGACCACATCCTCATCATTCCATCCCCCTTTGAGTTTGACCTTGTCCTCAAGGAGAATCAATTGAAGACTCTTCCACTCGACCGGCTCGGTTCCTTCGTCGCTGGTACAAAGCTTGATCCTCTTCTTAGCCCGTTTGAACTCCATCGTTCCTGTTTTGAAATTTGTACCTATGGGCGCTAGCGTCTCCGACCATTGGACCCCTAACACCACTTCGGGTCCTCCAAGCTCCAGTGCAAACAAGTCTTCAGCTCTTCTCCTTGCACTTGTATGGGGACATGTTTGGATAGCTCCAAACTCCAAAGCTATTCTCCATTTGCAACTCGTACTCCAAATGACACAACCCCGGTCATTGGAATCTCGAGCCTTGTGGTGAAATCCAAATTGATGAAATTAAGGGTTGACCCACTATCGACCAACACATTGACCTTTCGTCCAAAAATCTCGGCCTCGAACCTCATCATCTTAGGTCCTTTTTCCGCCTTTACCATGTGCAACATCTCCATTTGTGGGTTCAAATACAAGTGTCCTCCTTCGTCGCGTTCTTCCTCGGGCTCGCATGTATCGAGTAGGTAAACCTCTTTACCTTTGCACCGGTGCCCGGGCGTGAACGGTTCATTGCACGAGAAGAATAGACCCTTCTCGCGCCTCCTTTGCATCTCATCGGGATTTAGACGCTGCATGTAATTTGGTGGTCGTGCCACCTCGGTAACTCTCGCATTCTCGGCCTGCGGTGGTGGCTCGGGAACCGCGCTCGTGCACCGTGCCTCCGTGCGTCTGTCTCCGCCACTCGTCTTGCGGACCGCAACCAGGTGGTCCTCCGCATTCGTGCCGACTCCATGGCAGCTCGCATCGACCTCGGTCGGTCCAATCGAACGCTCCAACCAATGCACTCTCGGGCCAATCGCGCACCCGACTAGCAATGCGCTCGAACTCTTTTTGGTAATCACGAAGACTACCATCTTGACGTATATGAGTGAGTGCCTCGTCATAATCATGGTATTGGCTCGATCCAAAGCGCGTAATGATCTCCTTCTCGAAATCTCTCCAATGTACCCGCATACCCTTGTCTTTGTAGACGTGCGAGATCCATTGCCACCATACGTTCGCCTCACCATCGATATAGTAGGCGGCGATTTTGACTCGTTCGGATTTGGGCACGTCATTGATCTCGAAGTATTGCGTGGCACGGCTTAACCACGCGTCCGGGTCGGTTCCCATGAACGTAGGCATGGTTAGCCTCGGCTTCTCGACCTTCCTCTCCTCGCGTCGACTAGACGCTTGCGTCCTCCTCGATCGACGGTCATGGTCCTCGCGGTCGGACTCGGAGCTTCTTGATCGAGCCGTGGTCGAACACGACCTATGACTCCCTCGCGGTCGTCGTGTGGCTCGGGCAAGTTGTGCAGCAAGGTCGTGCACCATGAGCTCCAACGTCGCAAAATTCTCGTTGGCCGCGTGTTGTCCATCACCATGGGATCTCATGCTCTCCTCCAACATCTCGAATCTCTCTCGGTTTGTCATGACTCTCTCTCTTTTTTTTTTTTCTCGACCCAAACTCACTGGTACTCACGAACCCCACTCACGGAAAGAAAAAGAAAAATTCGAAAAAGAAGAGGGTAGAAAAAGTTAAACAAAACACACGATCAACACCTCTCAATAAAAGCACCAATGATGAAGGATCGTGTGTTTTCCTAACTCGATTGCCTCGAACTAAGATTTGCCACGGCTTGTTCTTCGACGATAGGTGTGGACGACTCGGTTATTAGCCTTATCTTCTCACGATTTTGAGATGGTTTGGGTCTTAGCCTCGCCAACTCGGTTTGTATGATAAAGCTCTCACGAATTCTAAACACACGAGATTTGTTTTCACGAACGGTTTTCTATTACTTTTCTTCTCCTTTATTTCGAATGACATATGGGTGGTATTTATAGATACCAAATAGATTTAATCCTAGTCTAAGAAGAACTCCTAATGCAAGTAAACAAATAAAGTCCTAAGGAAAGTAAATATCTAGTAAATATAGACTTACCAAAACTACTTAGGCCCATGCCTTTTATTCCATATCCTAACCAAATTATGAGTCCTAAGTTATTAGGGAAAATCGGCCCTAGGCCTTCTAGAAGGATCGCGCGTCCCTTTGTGTCGCGCGCCTCGACCAAACCCTAGTCGTCACGGCTAGTCCTTGTCCTCCGAGGTGTTGGCCTTCTCCCGCGCCCCACGCGTCTCCTGCCTTGCGCCTCAAGTCGCGCGGTCCTGTCCTAGGCATTGCGGTATTCCTAGCCCTTCGCGGACTCGCGCTTGCCAACCCCCGCGTGTCTCGCACGTCGCGCCTCGCGCGGTTGTTGCGCACGCTCGCGCCCTCAGCATCATCCTCTCGCCCGCTCGACGCCCTGCGCGTTGTGCCCCGTCTACCTGCACGCGTGCTGCTCACGCCCACTGGCCCAGCCCTTAGCCCGTGCTTGTCCAACGCCCGCGTGACTCCCGTCATCACGCCTTGCTCGCACCTGCTCGTCAAGCCCATCGCAACACCCCATGTGCACGCTATCCACCCTTCATCCTCCCTTCGTGCACCATTGGCCTTAGCTGTCATTCGTTGCTTGCGCCGTTCTCTCGCGCATGCCTTGCACCACCCACCTACTTCCCCGGGCACGACCTTTTCACTCTCATCGTCGGCCCAAGTCTCATGTTCATAGCCTCTTCGAACCCTCTTAGCGCGGTCTCGGTGATTGTCCCGGGTTCTCACGCGCTTCCTCCCATGGCTTGTGCGCGTCTCGTCCTCGGGCTCGGATAGGTCGATGACCACATCCTCATCAGCCCGTCCCTCCAAGCCTCCTATCGCCCTCTATCATTCTCGCAAGTCCCTCTACATACATGGAAATCTCTCGAACTCCGCCTGTTGCTTCCCTTTTTTTTCCTTGGAAAATAAATTCATTCCTCCACTGCCATAATTTCCACACCACCACCCCAAAAATGCCCAAAAATAAATTCAAAGTTCTCCAAATAAGTAAAATCTTATCTTTAATGTTACACGACTACTTTTCAATTTCATAGTGCTACAGGTTGCCAAAGCCCAACACCTTTGCATTGCTTTTTAACACGGGTATAGCATATCCTAGCACGGTTGCAATTTGCAAACCCAAGTTTGTCGCTTCCTCAACTAGTAATTTTCTTTCACGAAAACAATTATTCAAAATTATTAAAATATAGATCACCATATAGAAAAACTCCTCCAAACAACTGAGGGAATAATTCAAGTAAAATTTATCCACCCAATTTCTATTGTAAGAATCAGAAATAATAATTTAGCAAAAGGGAGAAAATATGCTGATTTTCTTGGAATTATTTTAGCATCAACAAAGCATCAAGCGGGTAATAATGCGGCTCAAGGTTCATATCTAAAATTTTTCAAAATTTTCAAGGTAGTATTCTCTTCTTCAGACATGCTGCCAAGTAACTAGAACAGAAAAATCACTCTTTTTTTTTTCAGGATGAAATGATTTTACTTACTACATTAGCCACAAATAAATAGACTAATCCAGGCTATATTGAACAGACAAAACGACAGCTACACGTTCCTTCTCCCAATTACACAAGTCTTTGTCTTTATCCATTTAGGCGTCGTTTACTTTACGGGATAGGACTGGATAGTGAAAATTGTCACCCCTTGTACAGTGTTTACTTTCCTGAATTGAGATGAAATTGATCTCACTTGACGCATATGTGGACTGCAGACCCCACTACTTATCAAATATTGGACGAATAAATTAGTTCTCCAGGGATTTTTTTATCCCAATCTTTCCTTTACATATTTGCGGGCCCCACTGTTTCAGACAATCCCATCATACAAAGTAAATGTGGACAAATTGATGACGTGTAAAGTATCTTTGATTAATTTGTCTAATTCCATCACACAAAGTAAACGACCCTTATTAGAAATTCATATTAGAGGCAAAGAATGAATAATCCTGAACTAGGTTTTGGTTCAGCTTTTTTTGCAGTGCATAGCACATCAGCAACACCCTTGATTGTAAAAGGTAATAAACGTGTGTATCTGGTGTAAAACCAGGCAAAGAAAGAAAATCTTTCGCCTCCCAAAATCAGTCGAATGGGTCGATCCGTGGGTCGTGCTCACTGGCCATAGCCATTCCTGTGCAGAGACACGTAGGGCACATGACCTGTAGAATAAAACGGACATAATTCAGCGAGAGTGTAATTACAGTAACACGAAATATTAAAATTGACCTTCCCTATGTGACTGTCAGTGTATGAACACCATTATGTACAAAAAGAAATATCTGTACATTGAACAATCTCCAAAATTTTCCAACATCCATTGGCTGCTCAAACGGTTTCTGCAGTGGAGCTGCCTAGTACATTTTTATGTTATGCTTTTTTGTTTTATTATATATTAATACTGGCGGTTTGATATAAAATGATTACTTGAATTTCAGCCATGTCGAATTCCTTTATCTTTTGTTTCTTACTTTTCTTTAAATATCTCCCTTTCTTTCATATCGCTCAAGTTTGCTGGGTGAAGATAAATGCAAACATGAAACATGAGAAAGCATACCTTCCCAGACCCCGAACAATTAGAACACCTTTCTGACTTAGGCGGTGATAGAGGTCGATCCACTTCATTTAATGTGGAGACTGGATCAACAGATCCAGTGCTTGCACAACGAGCACAAGCGAGATACCCTATAAATTGGAATGTAATTTTTTTTAATTACCAACATTCATTCACAACTTGCACAGTAAAAAATCTGATGCCATTTTGATATATAATTTGCGAGGTGTCTAATATCAAGAAATCAAATATGAGTTGTAAAAGGAAAAATTCCGTAAAAATGCGATATTTACTTGTACCAAGACAGTACTTGAACCGGATCCCTCGTTATAAAAGGAAAAAAAATCAATAAAAACAACACTAATGCAATATTTACCTGTACCAAGACAGTACTTGCATTTCTTATCTTCCTGCTGCTTGACATTGTTTATTTCAACCACCATCAAGGCAGATATTACTCCAACTGCTCCTCCAGTGAATGACGCCACAATTGGATCAACTTGACTGCAAAATTGGTAAATTTACTGTATTATGAACTAACAAAAGCAAAAGCAAATATTTATGAAAAAAACGTGAGAAGCATCACTATGGATAAGAACAAGAAAAGCTAAGTGTTAATATGAAGAGTTGGGGAATTTTTGTCATATTTTCTTTTGGTTTTGATTGGTATTTTGGTTGATCATAGTTAATTTTGAAAAAGTTGATTGAGTTAGATTTGCGTAGGATTTTGAGTTTGTATTAAAATAATATTTAAAATAAAATTACTAAAGTTGATTTTGATGCAAAAATAGAAAGATGTAATCAGAATTGATGGGTACTTAAATATATGTAAGTGAATGAATAGCGAATTAAAGTTGATGTGATGGAATGATTGATTGGTATTATTTAATTATATTAATAATATTAAAGATAATGGAGTTGAGTTAAATTTGAGTTGATATTAGATTTTT